AATCCTCATATTATTTTCCTGTTATGAATTTTTATTTTCCTTTCAGACGCTTCTCTGGTGTACATTTTATTACAAAGTCTTTGCGAATTTTAAAACTTGTATTGCAAAATTTTAAAAGATATTATTCAAAGTGATTTATAGTTTAGTGTGTGAACTACATTTAAGTACACGTACCTTGTGTTAACATCTTGTATATTTCATAACTTCCTAATCAAATCGGGATATAAAGCTTAATTTATATATATTTCTCTTTGGTCGGTTTTTAAAGTTTAAACGTTTTAAAAGAAATAATACCAATAAAGAAATTGGGGCCTGAACTTCATGACTGGTTTAAGGACCCCTGTACCACTGCCAAAATATATCACCACACATTGGAGACGGGCTTTTTCGAGAATGATTAGGCCTATAGCTTCGATAAATTATTTTTGACATGAAAATCACACCTTGCTGTACTTTTTATGAGAAAAAAATACAAAGATGAAATAAACAAAATACAATCCTCAACGGTGTTCTGAGAGTTAAAAAAAAACACATTGGGACTAGATCGTGACTCGAACCCTGAACTTCAAATTGCCGCTTTTACCGATATTAATTTACCTGATCAATGGAAATGTCCTGGAACAACTGTGCTACAGTTACATGCATATTCCAAAGCTCATTTCACAGAATAATATTCATTGTACGTAACAATGGTCAAATGACAACGGTGTCTTCTGAATCTGACAAATTTATGAACAGAATCTGAAGACAATCTATTCTTCAACCCTTCTCATACATGTCTCCAGTGATCAGCTTGACAACCCCTACGTGAAGATAGCACGCGCTAAATTGTGACGTCATAAAATGGTGAATGGCGAGCATTTTAAAGCCAAATACGATTTTGGTTACAAATATATATACTCTCCGTTGAAGTGTTAATGAAAAATTAGGATGGGAGAAAAATAATCATTTCCAACCTTGGTGGTGAGATGGAGAAATCTCCATTCTGAGAGAAGATCTTACACCTCAAAATAAAACAAAACCCTTAATGAGAAGATATACGCCGATCTCATTGCCTAATGCATTTTTACGAGCTGACTGATATCTAGACTCCGACCTATAACGTTACTTATGGCGACTTTCTGTTATTTACTCTCGAGTAGGATGAACAATCGATTTGGTGTGGAAAAAATGACTAGAAATAAGAAGCAAGAAATTCGAAAAACATTGTTAAGATCAATAAAACAACACCGAGAGCCACACACACTAAACATCATCTGAATTACATACGTCATGTCACAACTCTTCAGTCGTACTTCAAATCAAATAAATTGAATTCAATGTCGAAAGAGTTCTCTTGCATACTGTGAAATAACTAATTTACGTGTCGTGGAATTCGTGGGTAATCTTCATCCACGAATTCATAAGTTCACGAAGTCATTACCAATTGAATGGGACGTAATCCACGAACTCATGGACCAATGCAACGAAATGATGTTTTGTTGGGAAACCACGAAAATATCGGATTTTACAGTATGTAGAAATATAGAATAAAGGGGATAGGTTCCTTTACAACAACTGATAATATATGCAAATTTTAACCCAGTATTTTAGATGAACCATGTTTAAATATTGGAAATGTTAATTGTTTTATTTATTTCAGCTGGTAGTGGATTGATTTTATCGTTAAACCAGTGAAAACAAAAAAAATGTCTACCAATTTAAAAGAAAATCCATCGAAGGGTTTGCCTCCCTACCGACCCTGGAGATAAATCAATGTGGAGGTGAATGCAAGCCTAAATCTATCCAAGTAAAAAACTCCCTATCGTTTTTCATGTCATCCAGTACCTCTAAACAAGAAAGTTGAATCGGTTCATTTTGGTTCGTTTCGGGCATTCTATATAGATATCTAGGTCTTCACCCGAATCGGAAGTCTTAGACTTCATGTCTGTGAATGTTAGCAGGGAAACCACAGAACATATTTACCAATATGTATACATGCAGACCAGACGGAGGAGGCCTGATACGAAGGCATACAAGTATGGCTTCTGGTGTCGCTGTTCCGTGTAACACAGAGAAAGTAGGGCGGACACACAAACAGTAAAACCTCGATACAATGCCCTCATTTCATTTGCTCCCTCGCTTACCGTCAGTGTATTGCATGGTTCAACTTTTCCTTCCTTATTAATTCCGTTATTCGTTTCCCTCAATTTATCGCCAAACCCCTCATAACGCCAACATTTCTGTGTAAAATAGTGACAGTGTTTTGAGGTTTTACTGTATATAATGTCCACTGTGTACTTGAAGTACCATACCAAACCTACCTATATCTATTTTTAACAGTTGTTAAAAGATATGGTACGTCGAAATGAATTACGCTATACAATTAAGTTGTATCGTCCTTCTAGAACTCATCGATGGTGTTAGGGGCCCAAGGTGGAAATTCAAATTGGTCTTAAGTTAAGTACTGTTGAAATGTTATATATAGCAGAGGGCGCAACTAAAAGGCGTGTGTCCTATTTGGAAATATCCTATCAGAGTTAGCTACACAATGTAGATTAAGAAACAATAATCTATATGTCCAAAGAAATTGAAAATATGTTTATGTATGTGTATATACGATATCGAGATTATCATTTGTAATCGGTATATATTTATATTTTAGTTTTTAAAAACACGAGTGTACATTTCATAAATTTCATATGTAACATCATCATGAAAGCTCAAGGGGTTAGGTCACGTACGTTCTCAGTACCTCTGACCAAATCGAAGGTCAACGGTTTGCTAATGGGTTGGATTATACCTGCCCTTTGAAGATTACAGTGAATCGATATCTGATTTCAAAGCCAATCAATTTTACCGTTACGATGCCGCGCGATTTTGTGATGTCCATCAAAGGATCAGACTACTCTACTTGTCACACCTATTAGGTGACGCAAATAGAGCCTTTAGTTTGCCCATGACATATTACAAAGGTGCAAAGAACGTAAAAGAGCATGACCCCTTGAATTTCGTAGATGATGAAATAGAAATGAATTCAATACCTATTTATCTCATTACATATAACTATTCGTGAGAAAAAAATACTTAAACGTCAAATCGTCAACGTTGCCTTTTGACATCATGTATATGACCTTAAAAACGACGTCAAAAGCTCATAACGTCATGTTCATTGTTTTAATGATGACGTCAAAATGAGAATTATTACATTAGGTCATATTTAAAAGATTGTATAAGGGCGTGTTCACCAAATATCAAGGTAGTCATGTTATAAAATGGCATTGGTGACTATTGTTTCGATCACAGGATCACGTGTCTGTCTAGTTTAAACAGTATAGAACACATTGATTGGTACATTGTAATTGACCCTTCAGTAAACGTTGCCGTCATTGTTCACCAGGTCGAGTCGGTGTTCGTGTACATCTGTTTATGTATGTAAACAAAAGCTACTTTAATTAATCGATTTCTTCATCTGCAAGATGTGTCACTCAAATCACTCAAGTTTCTATATGTTTTGTAAAAAAATCTACTTACTTGACAATTTGTTTTAACTAAAGTGAAAATTAATTGTACTGTGGTACTTGGTAATACATTTTCTGCATGTATACTTGGTGATGGATTATCTACATACCCAGGGATGGATTTTCTACATACATGTTCATGGGGACGAATTTTTTCATGCATTGTAATTATCTTCCTACATGATTGGCAATTTGTTTTCTGCAATATTGGAAATCTATATTCTACTTACAGCCTTGGGCCAAAAGTGTTGGCGATTTGCCCGGATTATATGTTTCATGTATCTCTATCTTTCTTTTCGTTGAATTTTCCTGAAGCCAATTATTGCATCAATGAAATGAAATTGGACACCACAGGAGAGAATTGATTGACGCTGAATCCGACATTATTTTTATATCTCGTATCCTCTTATTCTCGGAAATAAAATTTCACTATCACTATTTCGTAAGACAAATAACAAAATGGCGTAATAAAATCGGTTTCATCTTAAAAAATTGTTATAGCTCGAAAACCAATCAACAAAAATGTATGAAAATTTTCCCAGATTATCAAAAAGAAGTTTTCTTTTAGTATGTGAAATTGTGTTTCATTAGAAAATTCAAAATAAGAAAAGTCATGAAATTTAAAATTGATTTAGAGAAAACTAGAATGCCTAGTAAATAGTATAGTTATAAGTTTGAAATATAAAGTGTTTTGTTTTTGTTGCTATAATTATGAGAAAAACTTTTCTAATCTTACATTAATCACCCTTGTTGGCCCGGATGGAAGAGCGCAAGGGGTCTTAATGCTTTAAGCGGAAAATCCGGAGAAAACCCACATGGTTGGGCAGAGGATTAGCTACCTGTTCACGTGCTATCGGGGAGTCGAACCACAGCGGTCTTTGTGATAGGCGAGTACGCTATCCACTGCGCCACCGGACCACTGATAATTATAACTTGACCAGTGTTTCTTGTCAAAGTGACTTTTACGTTCTAGTAGAAATCCAGGACAGAGAAGTATCTGTATTTGACACCTGTATTCAAAACGTTGTCTGTGTTGTTAAATAAGGATCGTCGTACATGTATCACTTTCAAAGAAAGGTTATTATAAATTGGATTTTCTTTTAGCTGCACGGCGAAAGCTTTTATAAATAATTTCTTGAAAGAATATATATTTAACGAATCATTAAAAATGCATGAAAAAATATGAAAGTAAAACTGCAATGGAGCAATATAACCGGGATTCGAACACCCAGCACCACCAATCTCAAACCAACAGCACTACATGACCAATTAGTTTTCACTGAACCAAACCAACTTTAGATACATCCAAAATTGAGGGGAGGTAACTGTTTGTTTGTATAATTACAGATGAATTATCTATGTTTTGTATGTAGTGGACGGAGATCCTTGGGCTAAATAGACGAACTCAATAAGTACTTATTAAAAATTACAAACAATATTTAAGATTTTTTTTTAAAAAGAACAAAGAACAAAAAGGTTGATTTGTAGTTCAATGTTGTTTTTAAGTTAAAATCACAAGAATAAAAACAATGAAGAAACAGCTTAAAATCCAATATTTCGTTTACCATCATTTGTAGTTAAATGTTTTAAAATATATTCAATTGTCAAACACATTTCAGCAAAATATTCACATAGCTGAAAAACAAAATATGAGTGAAGGGGGACACATATCGTCAAAGGTAAATGTTTCTGAAAATAACAATTATACTAAACCGGAAGTGATTATTCATTGGTGGAACCCATTTCCGTTAGCCATTGACGAACCCTTCCTTCTTTTACAGCTAACTCGTCAGTTACCATAGTAACCATGGTCGATGAAAAACCATCGTCCGACTCTTCGTAGTCCCTCTGCGTTTTGACCTTTGTTAGCTCCCTTTCAACTCCCGCTAGGGGACCCAGATCAGGAAAACTTCCGTCCGTACTAGAATTGCTTTGATTGACAAACATCTGTTGTCCACATTCGTTATTTAAATTATTAACAGACTTAGTACACCTTTGAACTTGAGTGTCATAGACATCGTTTGGTTTTTCGGGATTTGATACGTATCGCCTCAGTAGACTTTGTTTGTGTTTAATCAGCTCAAGTTTGTCCGAAAATTGTGTGCTATCGGATGACGAGTCGTTTGATATAAGACCAACGCTGCGAGCTGTATACTCGCTTGTTAGGGACACAGCACTCCCAACCCGACTTCCTGGACCCAGTTTATTAGGGAGCGTGTTAGAGTCATACGTCTCCAACCAATTGGTGTCATCATCACAGTGAGCTGAATTATGGCTCCCGTATTGTTGAAAAGATCGCCTCGGAAGTCTCGGAGAACAATATATATCTATAACGTTTCTGGACTCGGCTTCTTTCCCGTTACAATTTATGGCATTCCCACTGGAAGCTTTGCTTGAAGTCCCAGACACACCGGCCATACACGTAGCCAGCTCACCAGCTGATCGGGAATGGGGTATTGTGCTACAGTTAGAGTCTGCTTTCTCGTCCGCGTTCAGGACGATTTGGGGAACGGCCGGTATAAACAGGGACTGAACACCTTTCCGATCTGTAGTGGATATTTTTCTCGTTTGTGACGATGACATTTTGGCGACCTAAATAATTTCACACTGTAAATATATTCAATTTTTATGTCGTTGTAGCCGTTTCTATCACAGAATTGACGCTAATCCAGTACATTTAACTATTCCACGTAGCGCACATGAGAATGAGCTGAATAAAACACCAGTAGGTTTTTCCTCCTGACAAATGAATTTGCCATTATATTCTCAAATCCATATTTTAATGAATTTTAATCTTGAAGTTTATTGAATATAGTATTTTTAAATCCCAAGAAGAGCTGGTTTTTGTTTATAAATCCAATATTTGGTTTTATATCACAATACTATACAGCAGTTTTCGAAAGCTCCATACATCTCGCGCAATAGCCAGAATCAATACTAGTTTTCACAGTGAATTCTCCGCTCTAAATCCACGTCCTGAAGTTGGTAGCAGACGACACATCAGCCTTCCAAATATTTGGCGGCATGCGATCACCAGCAGGAACTATATCGAATAGACAGTTTCTTTCATCCCGAACTGTCGTCTGCGATCGATTGTGCCAAGCTGTTTAAATACTCAGTCGCTTTTCTTTGTACATCCACAGTTATTTCGATAACACTATGCTAAAGAGAAAAAATCAAACTTAATAAATTGTAATCCATCATCAAGCTGTTCAAATTACACATGACTATCGACGTCAAATATTAGTCTTGCTCCTTTTAAAGCGTCGAGATCGATCCTTCTTTGTGAACAACAACCAAACAATTGCCTTGGAACGAAATCAATTAGGAGAGTTATAGCTGTCGTGTTCGGCGATCGGAGCGCCCCCTGTAGGCCGTATTGATTATTCTATGATATTATTGATCACAGTCCGAGGGCAGAAGGCCTCAGCGATAGTATGGGAGGCGAGTAAAGTATGGTAGGCGAGAGTATAATAATCCAGAGTATGTTAGACTTGAATACATGTATACATGTATGTAATATATACATTACAGTCTGTAAGTCAAGAGTATGGTCTGAGTGATGCTCTTGCTAGTTCAATGATTTTAAGCACTGATTGCTTCGTAATTTATTCAAGCATCTGAAGACGTCTGTTGTCACCACTTTAGCTGGTGCACGCCAGGGATGTATTCTGCCCGAAGTGGTTTAATCTATTTTCATTCTTTCTATCTACTTCATCGTACGCAGGGTCGATTATCTCCCCCTTACGCTACTCCGGGGTCGTTCAGCTTGATAAAAGATTTTTTTATTATTTGTAAGAAATTCGACAATTCCTTAAGTGGTTATTCTCCCACGAATATTCCGTGTATGTTGTATAAATTCCGTGCAGCGATTGCAATCGCCTCGTCAAAAGTACGCGTTCGATTTTACCGCATCTCATATTGAACTTGTTCAATACCACGTGAGGGCAGCACATTGATCTATCAGCCTTTATGGTAGAGATAACATACGTATTCAGGCCTGTCGATACTGCCCTCTCAAGGAATATAGCTGATAGCTTAAGGTATGTGATATATATATGTATATATATATATATATATATATAGGTAGGGCCGTAAATGTTGGAGTGTAAAACTTTACGAACTGGTTGTAATGACATATATATATATTGATATGCCTTAAAACGACCGAAACAAATAAACAATCTGAGCAAACAGTCAACACTTCGACCAAAAGTGCGATATTACCAAGTAAATCGCTAGCAATCAAAAAGGGTGTTTGGAAGTGGAGCGGAAATTTAAACATCTCAAATATTGCAACGGGTGCAGCAGATCTATTTTGGTCGTTTCTGTTCCCAAAGTAGAGGGACAAATGTTAATCCTTAATTCTACAGTTAGTTCTCACATTAGTTCTCACTTCTCACATTAGTTCTCACATCAGTTCCCACATTAGTATCCTCTCACAACATGCAGTGGGTAACAGCAGGTATGGTTTTGTTGTCAAATCCCGACTTGCAACAATGGATTGATGTGACATTTGCTACATGTGGGTTTTTTTCGTCTTCATGAATAAGATTTAAATATAAATGAAAAAAAGGTTGTGATGTTTATTGTGCATATCCATCAGAAATTACCTATCTGTTTCCTCGACACAAACAACACTGTCTGAATTTGTGTGACGTGTGAATAACGTCCAAACAACGCTTCATCAGATGTAAGTAATTTCAAGATATCTGAGTCTCCGATATTGAGATGAAACCATGCATGGCATATTCTTCAAGACCAGTCAACGCAATAAAGAATCACTGGACAAAAACGGGTAAACGCCAGCAGGAGACAGCTAGATAAACCGCGTGTAAACAAAGATTAGGTCGAAAAAGAGCAAGGTCCGAATTAATGCAAGCAATTAAGCAGAGCTACGGCACTGGGGCACTGCCGAAGATATTTTTCCAGGTATTTTACATTGGTCGCTTGATACTTTTATACGGTTTAATTTAGCAGGTCTACTATTTATTCAAACTCACAGAGGTAAGCAGTCTTCAAGATTTGGTTCCAAGCAGATTATCTACCTGAACAGCTCGGTTTTTAACGCTTCATTACGTCATCGTAACGTGACGTAATTTCGTTTGCTGTTACTATGGTGAACATATCAGGTATCACAAATGACAAAACTTAACAGAAATTCACCGATTATTTCATAATGATGAAAGTGTATTTGAATAAAAATGTCTGGGGCTATTAAGATTAAATTCCAACTGGTGATAACATCTCTGCGTATTACCATCACAACAGCTGGTATTATTGGATTTTTACAAGTTTCAAAAACCGCATTTGAGTACATGTCGTTCCTGAGTTGGGGAGCTCTACCTACAAAGTAAACAGTATATGAGTTTAACAAAATACATCTGTAATACACTCATACATGTAACAAACCACAGGATCGACATATCCGAGCATTCGAGATAAGCAATGAAGACAGTTTAGTATTCCGTCTTTGCGTATTGCAGAGTTATCTTCTCTTGGGAGCAGGTATTGATTGTTACGTCACTTGTTTGTGAGAGTAACGTCATCAATTTTTGAGAAAACGACGTACTTTTCTCACACAAACCAATGACGTAACAATCAATACCTGCACCCAAGGGAAGATAACTCTGCAATACGCAAAGACGGAATATTAATTACTAAGTACAGAAGTCGATGATTTAAAATCAACACTCGACGATAGCTGTCGTGACTGACACGTCAATGCTTAGCTTACTCAATTACCAGATGGAGGAATGATTGTATTATAAAAGAATTACGTATAGAAGGCTAAGATTGAGCTCCTAAGAAGATTGGAATACTTGCTAACAATTAGAAACCCTGCTGACTGTATCAAAACTCTGATCGTGTGTAGACATCACTGTGTGTTCTTAAAGCTAATATGTGTCTCAGTTACAAAGAAAGTCAAACGAGGATTGGCGACAGTGGGAGGAAAGTGGGAGGACATCCGAAAGCAGGGATTTTTGAAGGCAATGTACGAAAACGGATATGAATATGTAATCCATAGGGGTTAGGTTTCTGCGTTCGCTTAAATGCCAGAAGATACCACGGGGATCATCAATATTTGATCAGATTAACATGATTATGTAATGATGCAATTGAATTGTTTAATTAGATATACACAATAAAAAGTTGAAAAAGCATGATCAGATGGTGGCAATATGTATTCGAGGACAACTAAATTATTTGATTTATAATGAAAAAGTTATATCAGTTATTTATTTTTTTACAAAATTATTATTATTATTATTAGTATAAGCTTTAAAAGGAGGTAAAATATCCTAAGTTCCGGTACAATATTATTCAAGAAACTGCATACTTGTACATCAGCTTCCTGATTAAACGTTTATGTTTAATGCCTCGAAAAATTGCAAACAAATATTTGTTTAAGGTTTTCCCTTATCTGGATATCGTTTAACGGAAAAAAAATGACGTCATAAAACATAACATTTTACTAAATAGTGCTCCATTGGCTATCTTTAATACTAGATAAACAAATATCCATTGTATCTGGTTATGTTTGATAAAAAATCGATAAAGGGCAGGAATAAATATGTATACATGAACAATACTTACAAATGTCTGTAAAGGACGCAGTTAAAGTTAGAAGAATTTTCTCCATCTGAAAAAAAAGTATCATTGTTTAGAAATCGCTACATCAATTCATGGAGATATATAAACACTCAATCCGACCTTTACCCTACCAAAAAATCACCTAAAAGAAGAAAAGTGCTCGGGGGAAGCGTATCTATCTATTAACTTCCGGTACCGTCCAGTACCAAGAGTTCCGGTACGGAACCTTTTATTTAAAGTTCTTTCTTTCTTCTGGTGCACGTAACCTTACAAATAAGGAAATATGTCGTAACTTGTTTTTAAAAGAGAACGTCGCGTCATGTATCACGGTTGGTAAATTTTGAACTTTTCATACCAGCAACAAGAAAACCATGTTATAAGATAACCAACATATCCGAAAACGATAAACTAGCAACAAACAAATGAACAAACTATTCATATGCATTAATCTACAATTGTAACATCATATCTGAAATGTCGTTTGTTTGACTTGTGCCTTTCAAATCGGACAACAGCTGTTCTGCTCATCATTTATTATTATACAGCAATATTGGTGACGAAGTACACATGTTACACACTACTAAATGCAGTCCGGACGAGTCCGGCTCATTATACAACACTTAATACACTCATACCTAGCTGCGGTTCTTCGGGTTGAAGTATCATCAACTATTTATGCTTGTACATGTATGGGATGAAATGGAGTTCTGATCATCATTTATTTATATACAGCAATATTAGTGACGAAATACACATGTTACACACTACTAAATGCAGTCCGAACGAGTCCGGTTCATTATACACCTCTTAATACACTCATACCTAGCTGCGGTTCTTCGGGTTCGAAGTATCATCAAATAAATTATGTATGCTTGTACATGTATGGGATGAAATGGAGTATCGTCAAAATGTCACAGTTGATAACCACTACCAAAAACAAACAAAACAACAATACAAACAGCATGTATAAACACATAATATGTGTATCAAAATCATGTTTTATAAAACTCATATCGTTTTTTTATACCTTGACATAGGACACTTCCTTATTGCCTACCGTCTGACTCTGAACGTCATAGTAGTGCTGGCGGGTCGCTATAGGAACGCATCAAATCGCCAATATTTCCCTACCAGGAAACATTCATTTCATGCATTTCCTGATAAGAAATACTGTGAAGTATGATATTAAAAACGAGGCACTCGATATATGTATTATCGACAGGGACATCTGGCATAATTGTATGTGTTTTAGTGGTATGTTTGTCACGCATTTCAGCCGAATCAATATCGACCCAAGCCGTAACGTTTGCTCTCGTCCAGCAAATAGCCATTATACACACTATAAATATCTGCCTAAGGGGTACCAGGAAAACAACATACTTTATTTGTGATATACAATAAATGTGCCACAATTGATAAGAACCAAACATTGTCAGCCTAATTTCATAGTGGCCTGCGAAAAACTGTCCATGTTTATCTTAGTTAGATATAAACTCTATCATAATATATACTTCATTATTGTTTGCCCAGATACAAATCTCAATAAACATTTTAAACAATGTTTGTTATAAATTAAAATATCATAAAGAACTCTGAATGGACAAAATAATCGAATATTAAGTTAATATGAGTATATGAAAGTTTGCAATATGGCGTCATCACAGGTGTTTTAGCATACTACCTAAAACATAGGCTGTATACTTGTACTG